TAAAACAAAATTGAACACCTGACTGAATGACCACAATGCAGCAGCAGCAGACATAGAAATAGAATGAATAGAAACGGCTTGGAATCTCTAACTCTGGCAAGTTGACTGGTAAACTCTTGGGTACACTTGCAATGATTGCCTGGTATTGTGATACAATCAATTCCGTGGTTATGTAGAATGTTCATCCAAATGATGTTAACTGATATCGTTTAACGAGTTACCATTTCCCGAATTAAACTCAATAATATATAGATATTGATAACAGTTACTTATTAATCATTTATCTCATCAGTCTAATTCTGAACGTCGCAGACTTCTTGAATCTGCACAAACCCGAGTCTTACTGATCATTCCATACCACACAAATTGATTTGATTATTTATTTACTACCAAACTAAATGATAACACAGGACTTTTACTTTCACTCCTTCTGGAAGTGGTCTTCTGAGTACAGCTAATCAGCCATGTCGATAATCCCCAGTGGGGTGATGAAAGCAGTGTAGCAGACGATGGTTTGAAGAGAGTAACAGGATGGTCCCATTTAAATTCACCTTCTTAGATACAGTACTTAGAACAGCTACTCAGCTGTAACATTGATTGTTAGAGAGGCGACTTTGTCGTCTTCACCTCGTGTTGACTTTCAGGGTCGTAACCAATGGAAACAAAAGCTGCAGCTTGAGTCCGTCTGGTCTGACATGTTAATTCTTAACTCAATCTTTTATACCCTCGGGTGTAAAAGGGGAATTTCCGTCATACTGACACGCTCTCTTTGCTCCCTCGGGCATGGCTAGTTACGAGGCAAAATATCATCATCACTATGATCTTGCTAGAAAGCTAAAATCACATTCCTATCTTCACGAAAATATTGTCTTCCTCCTTGATATTTTCTACACAACGTAAAGTATGTAAACCTGATACACAGTGTAAAAGCTATTCAAGTTACAATGTTTTCGTTATAACGCCTTTATACCATTTTTAATGACATCACAAAAATACATTAATTTTCCATATTCAATTTCTCATCATTCTCAACATTCGGATGTTGAAATATATTGTCCCAGTGTTCATTGTTGGATGTTGAAGTTTTTGGGCGGCAAAACCTTCGGTAACAAAGGGATACTTTTTTCCAAATAACTATCCCCCCCCCCCCCCCCCTTCCCCTCTTCTGTGGTTGAGAGGGTCTGGTAGTTGTCAGCTATTTACGAAGCTGATGTGAGGCCTTTGATCCTCACCCAGGAGTGTCATGTCACATGGAATGTATTTTTTGTAATGTCAGTTGAGTTGAATCAACAAATCACAGCACATATTTTAGCACAGTTTACTTTCTGCTTTGCTCCTATGGGTACACTCGCAATGGCCGCCAGTACACCCATTGTGTAACCATTGACTTGAATGGGGACGCCCGTTCTATTCATTCTATTTATGTGCCAGCACATGCGGTCAGCAGCGGAGGAGATGAGAAAATGTGTGTCAGTGACCGCTGTCAATTGGCTGGCCAATTACAGTGCCTTGCAAAAGTATTCATCCCCCTTGCCATTTTTCTTATTTTGTGGCATTACAACCTGTAATTTAAATGGATTTTTATTTTGATTTCATGTAATGGACGTATACACAAAATAACCAAATTGGTGAAGTGGAATGAAAAAAATTCTAAAAAATTAATAACGGAAAAGTGGTGCATGCATATGTATTCACCCCCTTTGCTATGAAGCCCCTAAATAAGATCTGGTGCAACCAATTACCTTCAGAAGTCACATAATTAGTTAAGTAAAGTCCACCTGTGTGCAATCTAAGTGTCACATGATCTGTCACATGATCTCAACTACAACTAACCTGCAACTAACCTGCCAAGGGCCGTCCACCAAAACTCACGGACCAGGCAAGGAGGGCATTAATCAGAGAGGCAACAAAGAGACCAAAGAAAACCCTGAAGGAGCTGCAAAGCTCCACAGCGGAGATTGGAGTATCTATCCATAGGACCACTTTAAGCTGTACACTCCACAGAGCTGGGCTTTACAGAAGAGTGGCCAGAAAAAAGCCATTGCTTAACCTCTACGGGATCAGTGTCCCATATATGGGACGGTTGAGCTAACGTGCGGTAATGTGATTAGCATGACTGTTGTAAGTAACAGCAAACTTTCCAGGACATAGACATGTATTATATGGGCAGAAAGCTTAAATAATTGTTAATCTAACTGCACTGTCCAATTTACAGTAGCTATTAGAGTGAAAAAATACATGCTATTGTTTGAGGAGAGTGCACAACAACAGAAAACATATCACGGCAACTGGTTTGATACATTCACCTCTGAAGGTAAATAATGTACTTACATTCAGTAATCTTGCTCTGATTTGTCATCCCAAGGGTCCCAAAGATAAAATGTAGCATAGTTTTGTTTGATAAAATCCATTTTTATATTCAAATGTATGAACTGGGTTCTTCAGTTTGAACCCCTGCTGTCTCTGGCTCCACACTCACCCCGCTAGGCCATCTAGATGTGTGAAAGTTAGTGTATAAGCTAATGATCCATCATGTATGACATTCCTGGGAGTGTGTAAACTTACATTTTGTATTACCATATCATTTTTGTATGTTCTCTATAGTTATGTACTTGAAAATGTATCAATTGACCAATTCGGCACATTTTGGCAGACTTGATACAAAATAGTCCAGTATTGCAATGCTTCACTGGATCAATCTGAAACTTTGCGCACACACTGCTGCCATCTAGTGGCCAAAATCTAAATTGCGCCTAAACTGCAATATTATATTGTGGCCTTTCTCTTGCATTTCAAAGATGATTATTTATTTTTTTTGGGGGAAAACTCAGGTTTTTTTGTTTGTATTATATTTTACCAGATCTAATGTGTTATATACTCCTACATTAATTTCACATTTCCACAAACTTCAAAGTGTTACCCAAATGGTATCAAGAATATGCATATCCTTGCTTCAGGTCATGAGCTAGAGGCAGTTAGATTTGGGTATGTCATTTAGGCGAAAATTGAAAAAAAAAGGTCAGATCCTTAAGAGGTAAAAAAAATTAAATAAGCAAACATGTTTGGTGTTCGCCAAAAGGCATGTGGGAGACTCCCCCAACATATGGAAGAAGATGAGACTAAAATTGAGCATTTTGGCCATTAAGGAAAACGCTATGTCTGGCGCAAACCCAACACCTCTCATCACCCAGAGAACACCATCCTCACAGTGAAGCATGGTGGTGGCAGCATCATGCTGTGGGGATGTTTTTCATCAGTAGGGACTGGGAAACTGGTCAGAATTTAAGGAATGATGCATGGCGCTAAATACAGGGAAATTCTTGAGGGAAACCTGTTTCAGTCTTCCAGAGATTTGAGACCGGGACGGAGGTTCACCTTCCAGCAGGACAATGACTCTAAGCATACTGCTAAAGCAACACTTGAGTGGTTTAAGGGGAAATGTCTTGGAATGGCTTAGTCATAGCCCAGACCTCAATTCAATTGAGAATCTGTGGTATGACTTAAAGATTGCTGTACACCAGCGGAACCCATCCAACTTGAAGGAGCTGGAGCAGTTTTGCGTTGAAGAATGGGCAAAAATCCCAGTGGCTAGATGTGCCAAGCTTGAATGCTCAAGGTGAATAGCTATGCACCCTCAAGTTTTCTGTTTTATTATCTTATTTCTTGTCTGTTTCACAAGAAAACATATGTTGCATCTTCAAAGTGGTAGGCATGTTGTGTAAATCAAACGATACAAACCCCAAAAAATCCATTTTAATTCCATGTTGTAAGCCAAGCCCCGATGAATTGAGGCTGTTCTGAGGGGAAGAGGGGGGGTGCAACTCATTAATTAACATTGCCAGATATTTTCCATCAATTATTTTGTTCTCGTGTCAAGTGTGACCAATAATGTACTGTGAAGTGTAATTACCAGCCTAAAACATAACCTAAAGATTCCCTATTGATTCACATAAATATTAGTATACCAACACTTTATTGTTAAGAACACCTACAATTCTGACAATATAAATGTATATGGCTGTAAGATTATTAATATATTGTTAGTTTATGATATTTAGGCTTTTCTATGTGGAGAGCTTCTTCTGATAAGAGACTAATTATTTGTTGCCATACATCATGTGGATGTGACCTTCTGACATTCAGTTAATAAATTACTACAGAGCTGGCGTTCTACACTGCCGTTCATTCAGTACAGGGACTCCTAAAGAGTTGGGTTATTTGATGGTTACATCACTGTAGAATCTACAGTGACGTAACGATCAAATAACCCAACTCTTTGTGATGTAACCATCAAATTACCCTATTAGTCCCTGTACTGAATGACACTTCATCCTCGCCATGGTAAATTATGGGCAGATTCACTCTTTTTTCAGAAACACTTGACACGGAAGCAGCTGCAGTAATCATTTTCACCATGGCAATGCTCACAGGTGAGTTTTTACCTGCTGTTCTCAGCAAATTACAGAAGAAGGAAGTCAAAGAGGGACATTGAATTGTATATATAAGGACAGGGGAGAGTAAGGTGTAAGGGCTATCATCTAAATCTTCTAGGACTGTTGATAACCTTGATCTAACAATTTGCTTCTGCATAATGTCATCCTTTAATTGACTGACTTCATGGACTGCTGTTTGACTCATAATAAAAAAGGACACTCAATTAATTATTTATAATTGCCATCATTCGGGCAAGCCAACATGTTTCCCTCTGAAGCTGTACATTGAGCTGTAGGAGAGAATGTAAACCACAATATGCTAACATCTCATCCATTTACATCAGTAGCCTTGAAAGTTATTGGTACCAATGTAATAACTTGTCCTCTGACACCAATGAACTGGGATACAGTGACAGGATCACTCCTGTCATGTGCATGTAACATACATTATGAAGAAATACCCAAATCTGTTCTGTTGTTGTCTCTCTGGGGTCTTGTTATGGTACCAGATGGTTGCTGAGGTAAAAGAAAATGTCACATTCACCACAACGGTTGATCCAGAGGAGAATGTGTCCTCAATGTAATCATCGTACCATCACTCATGACAACATCAGGCCTGGATATGAAGACAGGATCACTCTGGACAAAACCACTGGATCTCTTGAACTCAGGGACCTGGCCCCGTTGACGGGTACAAAATACAAAGTAAGCCTTTTCTTAAAGAAGGATCACTGCTGAGTGGGGAAACAAGACTGGATGTATATGGTAAGTACTACTGATTTAGATCTAGGAAATGTAAGAAATGGTTTTAAAATAAAGTACACTTTCCCTCTGTGATGAAATCAGAAACATCCAAGAATCTGTATAGATTGTATATGTTCAGGCCATGTGAGGGTGTAGCTGTTTGTCATTTACAGTTTAATGAGCTGCTGTTTCTCAAATCCAGTCAGTTGTCTGGGCACAGTGCCATTTCTCCACCTCATTTGTTTCTAATGATCTCATTCATTTTAGTTAGTAGTGTATGATGAAACAATGTGTTCAGAAAAGGTACATTCTTCAGAAATTGTTTTCTACGCAAAGAGAAGGTAGCTATTATGTTTTTAACCCACAGAGCGAGTCTGCAACGTGGTGATAACTCCCTATAACACAGATTTAGTGGAGTTCAACAGCTCTGTCAGTTTGTCCTGCTCCTCCTCAGCCTCCTCCCTTTCTTACCGCTGGCTGAATGGCAGCTCTGAGGTCACAGCCAGTGATGGAGTTCAGCTTGTTGATGGAAACTCTCACCATAGTCAGTGTGACCTGGTATGACCCGGGACCATTCAGCTGTACCGTGTTCAACCCAATGATGTGTATAAACCCTGGATTATTGATGCCATGTAATGGCCAATGAGAGGCTTTGAATCCACCTGCCACCATATTGGAACTCCACAGAAGGAGTAATCCTCCATAGGAATGAATGGAAATCTACAGTATTTCAATAAAATGTTTCAAGGACAAAATTACATGTATTTAAGTATTTATTTGTTGTAGTGGAGACAGTAACCTTAGTACTCTCCCAAAAAAATCCTTTAAGTAATATGTTTTATATACTTTTTTGTTGTTGTTCAATTCACATAATATAATTTAAAAGTATGCAATAAGGTGTCTGAAATAGAATATACTTGTCAAAAATGAATGTAGACAATAATAAATGGATTTCTATAGCTTCCAAAATATGTTTTACTATGGAGGAGTACCAAAATGCCTGCGCAATGGTTTCAAAACAGCGGCCCCCTTGTCAGTCATCTAGGATTAATACATATAATTGGTTCGACCCCATCAGTAATGGAACCAGCCAGCCTCTAACTCTCACTATCAGCTGTGAGTCCATTTTCATTAACAAACTGAATGCAACTGTATGTTTTATCCAATTACTGCTCAAGTTATTCTACAGGCTCATATGACCTACACTTGTTGAACACTATAGCTGGTTGAATTTTGCCTCTTGGTCTTGACCATGACATTGATTGGACATTGATGTTTTATTGGTCTTACAATGGTTTTCAAATGTGTCGCATAAGGTTCAGAAAACACCACAATGAAGGTGACCCCTTTAGCTAACCCCTCTAGATCCCTATAGGGCGGCAGGTAGGCTAGTGGTTAAGAGCGTTGGGCCAAAAGGTCGAAAGGTCGCTGGTTTGAATCTGTCGATAATTTAAATGTAGATGTACTGTATGGATCAGGGTCAGAACAAACATGGTGGATAAATGAAGATGTCTTACTCAGGCAGTTTACCATTGGAAAAAATGGTCAAGGTTCCTGTCTGTGTAGATGGGCCCGTGTGGCGGGGGCATAAGTAGACCAGAGTGGCCCCACCCTGACCTAAAACAAATGAGGTAGTGGGGTGTCTCGCTTCGCTAATGTCTCTGGTCAGAGCTCACCATGTCCTGCTCAACAGAGTTCAGTCCTTCTGCCCAGCTCACCATCAATTTTGATTATTTAATCAGCTGTGTACTGCTAGGGTAAAAACCAAAACGTGCACCAAGGGGTGCCCCAGGACTGAGTTTGTGAAACCCTGCAATAAGGGATCGCCAGTTTCTCATGGTGTGAACAACATAATTGAAAAGCCTTTAAGAAAGATGCAGACATGCATTTCCCACACACATCTCTGAATAACTCTCACACTAATGTCAACCACCCCTGCATAGATAGGAAAAGGCCCCTATATGGCCGTTAGTGGCCAGTTACAGAGTGAAAGCCAAAACGTGTCAAAACTTCAGTATCCAAAAACCACACACTAGTGTAAAAACCACACACTAGAGATGACAAATGCCCAACCTTTACTTTAGTTCAGTTTTTTATTTATCTAGAACCAGTATGGTCAAACATTTCTATATATATAATATATGTTTCATTTAGTTTGGTCTTCCACACCACCTCCAGCAATCAAGTTAAATCCATCATCAACACATAGAACACCTGCATGATAACACCCAGTGTGGATCTGTAATATAATGCACATAATCAATAAATATATCTTATGTTTGATAATCTGCTTTATTGTGTACTTTATTCATATTGAAAACCAAAACCTTGTTAATGAAAGTAGATAACAACGATACCGTAACTGATCAAAGCATGTGGAGGATGTAATGTTAACAATAAAATGTAAATAGTCAATACAAGTATTGATGTGTATTCTTTAATGATTTAGGATATAGAACTGGGTTAATCACGAACATTGAGTTAGAATTGTTTGTTACTGGGCTAGGAATTTAATTGGGACATTTCACTGTGTGTGGGGGGGAGTAGAGAGGAAATCTGCCCTAGGGTCAGATTGCTTGCTCTTACTTAAATCCATGGTGGTCTTATCTGATGAAAGACTGAAACTAGCTTGTGGCCTTTTGTCTCTCTCTTCAAACACAGTGAAGGGAGCGGCACCAGGGTTGGATAGAGTTTGGGCTAGACCTTTGTCTCCTTGGTATCTTCTTGATTGATTACAGCATGAGGGGGTGAGGTTTGTGTAATTTAGGGCCTTGTCATGTTTAAACTAAACATGAGTGTGTGTGCAAGACAGGGGAGCGAGTGATTTGTTGGAGTAATAGTTCAGCCGTCCTCAGGGACAAAGGAAGTGGGTGTGGAGTGATAAAGAGCGGGAAACTGAAGAGTGAGAGATTTAGAGCTAGAAGAGTTGGGGAAAATTTTATATAATGTGATGTGAGGAAAACAGAACGTGGTGCCACTCTGCAGACTGGTATCGGCTTTGTTGAAAACTTTAATAAAGTCATTTCTTGATGCAACAAAAACTCTGTAAGACCTTATTTGTAAAAAGTATAGTGGTTATTTTCCACAACATTATTTATAGAACACTGTATTGTGAAGTGTGGAGTCAAAAAGGTAAAGAAGCTGGAGTAATGTATTGCTTTACATGATGTAAAAACAGAATTAATAATAACGATTACTTTTCTCCATCAACTTTGTTGTTCTTTGTGTCAAGTGTCTCCAGCAGTATGTTGATATGACCTAATTACATTCACTTCATTCATTCATACAAAGCTGGGTGTTGGTTCTATGTGACCCTACAGTGATGTCAATGTTAGAGAAGGAGTATAAAGCACAAACCTTTATTATATATATTATATAATCTATTATCAGAAAATACCTCAAGACCAAAGTCCACTATCTTTATCAGTCAAAGCCTGCAAAGCAATAGAGGGCAACAGGCTCATTAAATGTAAAACCCCCCACAGCTTCCTTAATAGTCTTAGTGGAGGTGGGTTGTAGTGTTCCAATAGTGGAGTTTGGTCATTTGTTCCTTCATGCAGTGATGTAACTCATCAAAACATTTTATCTCAATATTTCTTCCTCATATCAGGTTTTGGTGGTACTGTAGACTGCTTTTATTGAAGCCCTGTCTCCTATGTAATAATTATTTGTAGAGACAGAACTAGTCTGAATCACAGACATTTGTTACATCAGAAGAGATGGTGGCATCTGCTGTTGTCTTTCTTACCATGGCAATACTCTCAGGTGAGACCTTATCTGCTGCACTCAATAAAATACAGCCACACATAGGTTAACCCTAAAACCACGAACATTGGGTCAATTTTGAGACCAAGGTGTAAAAAATGTCATAATTTCCAAACCCTTTCTTGATTCTTCTGAAATTTTAGGACCATCTATTCTGTGTTAATGTAATATATTCTTGTCCTCTCCCATGACAGTAGGAATTGTTCTTCAATAAATAGCAGGTTCTTTGTCAATAGTCATAGACGTGGTTTCAATGATGTTCATATCCATCTCTAAGGCCATACACATTAAATTAAATGTTTAATGGATTGCTGTCAGACCTTGTCCATAGATGGCTTACATGGTAAAGGATCCAATATGTAATTTTGTAATTTGGATGAACTATCCCCTTCAGGTGGTGACAAATGCTGCTTAATATTTGCTCTCACAAAATATAGTTATTCCACTAGGCACAGTGGCTACCATAGTGGCTTCAAAAATGTTCTCGATAAAATAATTATTTTATAAGAGCGTTTAAGAACTTATTTGAAAACGTTCCACTTATGTCTTTGATTACAGCATTTTGTGTTTGTTTTGGAGACATGATAATCAAGCCCTGTTATTGTTTCCTCAGGATATTGTTCTTGTCTAGAAGTGCTTCCACCTGGACCTGTGAATGGTACATTGGGAGGAAATGTGATTTTCAAAACCACCATCAATCCAACCACACTTAGTGCAGTCTCTTGGACATTTGGTGATCCCCCTGTCACCATTGTTGACTTTCTCAGTTCTGAAGGTCCTGTGACCAGAGCGGGATATGTTGGTAGGATCAGTCTGAACAATAGCACTGGATCTCTGGAGCTCAGGAAACTGACCCTGGCTGACAGAGGAGAATACAGAGTGATCATAGGGGAGTCTGATTTTATGCAGTTGGCAGATACTTCACTGAATGTCTATGGTGAGTACCCCCTGAGTTCCAGAAGACGTCACTGAATGATAAATGTGCATTGATATTGTATTGAGTTGTCAACTAATGTGACTATAATGTACTTCCATCCATAAAAACAATATAAAACAAAAAACACAATGTGCTTGTTGAAATGCAGTTACTCTAGTCTTTAATGGTGTAGTTACAATTTATTTGATGGATATCTCTTGACACTCATACATACATGATCCATGGTCAGAAGCAGACTTAGTGCGAGGGCCATGGGTGTGACCACCAGGTTTGGGGTCAATTCCATTTAGATTCCAGTCAATTCAAAAAGTGAACCAAATTCCAATTCAAATTTACATTTTTACTAATTGAAAACCATGGAAGAGAATTGGAATTGGAAATTAAGTGTACTTCCTGATTTTCCTGGAATTTAAATGGAATTTACCGCAACCCTGGTGACCACCCCAGGGCCCACGCACCTAGGGGCCCCCTGTTCCTGCATATAAACATTTAATAAACATTTTCAACGATGATGTACCAAAAAACATTATTTGACACTGTAAAACATGGCAAATGTATATATAGTACAATATATTATACGATTTCATTAAATCCTGGAATTGGTCTGAGCTGGTGTTGCTTATTTTATAAAGCAATGTACAGCTGTCTGTCACTGTACCCCCTTGAGGGCCCCCCTGGCCTGGGACTGGCAGCTGCCTGGGCTGGTGGCTGGCTGCTGCTGGGAGAGACCAGGGTCTTTGTCGTATCGAGTGAGTGGTGGCAATTATTGCTGATGAACAAAAGGAGTCTGCTCATACTGAACGTTGATCATAAGGTTTATTCAGACCACAAGCTTCAGCATGAGTGACAGGTGACATGACACCCGGAGAGTGACGCCTCAGAATGGCTGCTCGCTCTGCCCTCTCCTTCGTTTTCCCCCCTATTTATAAACAATGATGCTCCCTCTTCTGGCCAATCACCAGTCTCCCCTGTCTACAACACACTTCCGGTCTGTTGTATGTGGCGTTACACCTAAAACATTCCCTCTTGATACTAACATAAACAACATTCCATTTCTTCATGAAAAACATTTAACACCATCATAATCTTAATACACTACATTTCCCCCCTTCGAGACGAACTAAACGTCTCGAAAACAAACAGAATAGGATTATGACTAGTAACAATTTATCTTATTGAGTATCTTTAACATTAAACCAAAAACATTCTCCTCTAGAGTGTAAATACCTTTCTATGAAATAACGGTTTATGAAGTGTGAATACATTACTATGAAATATGAACAAATCTCTATGGAGTGTAAGAGCGAAAAACTGTCCGGCAACCTTCCATCCATCAATCAAGACAGTAAAATTCTCTCACGGTCCCTCTGCCCCAGGCAACCACCTTCGGTACTCCTGATAAACTCATTAACCATGTAAATGCATTTGAAACTATGATGCAATTAAATACACATGTAAGCCCCTGCAAACAAAATCCTATCCAAAAACATCCATTGTAAGGCTGGTCAACCCATTGGACCTTACAGTGAACCTCTCCCTGCCTAGACTTTCATGTCCCTAAACATTCACGAAATAAACAAAAACATCTAAGATCCTCACATGTATTCAATAACATCAAATATCCTTCTACAAAAATTAATACCTAAGAATATGACACAAATTATGTATTATACATCAAATATGTCTATATTTCATTGCAGACACTGGAATGTAGTCCACTACACGTCATCTCCCTGTAGTCTCCTCTTCCAATGGACTGTTGATGATGGAATCGGCCACACCCTCCTTGTTTCATCTCCTCCAGTCATATTGTCCCTTCATATTGTCTTTGTTTGAGTATTTCAATCTCCATATGTTCCCCCAAATGCTTCTGAAAGAAAAGGAAAGACCAAACAGTATCTTTTCCAAAACAACACTTTCAAATTGAACATCAATATCAACTAAGAATATAGAAATGATATATAAATGATGTATGAATCACATAAACCCATTCCCCCCTTTGATTCATAAATCATACTACAAATCACACTAATATTGAAAAAAATTGAAAAATGATCAAATAATCAAAAATGATATTTATCCATTCCATCTTCATCCATATCAGGAACAGTCAACACCGGCATCTGAGTGTTGTCTCCAGGCATCACTCTCCAACCTATCTCAATATCATAGCTTTCTCAAAGATCAGTAACAAATTACAAACATCACACAGTGTTATCAAAGCTGCCATTAAATGTAACCCATCCCTGCCCCTACTGGCCTACCTGATCCTGCAACCAAATCTTCTCAGATCTCCCAAACACATCCCTTATATTCTTCAATGCATATATAACTATCTGAACTATCTGGACTCAAAGTATAACTATTATCATCAATAGGATCTTCCCAAATGTTACACCATACCATGGAAAAAATCCCCCCTTCTCCCTTAGATTTATCCTTCAATGATAGGCTTGAAGACTATGACATGTAGCCATGTCACCCTTTTAACCCTAGATTTAGCTGTGTCCGGTGCTATCCCTCTTATAATGGTAAAAACCTTATATGGAAGCTTCAACGTTGACATGTAACAACATCCTGTCTATCCGAGTGGCGCAGTGGTCTAAGGCACTGCAGCACAGTGCTAGCTGTGCCACTAGAGATCCTGGTTCGAATCCAGGCTCTGTCGTAGCCGGCCGCGACCGGGAGACCCATGGGGCAGCGCGCAATTGGCCCAGCGTCGTCCAGGGTAGGGGAGGGAATGGCCGGCAGGGATATAGCTCAGTTGATAGAGCATGGTGTTCGCAACGCCAGGGTTGTGGGTTTGTTTCCCACAGGGGGTATGAAAAAAAAAAAAAATGTATGCACTGTAAGTCGCTCTGGATAAGAGCGTCTGCTAAATGACTAAAATGTAAATGTAAATGTATCCATAGTGTAAGAATATATATGCTTTATCACCACAAACCCTCTAAATATCTCTAAAATTCCCCATAGTCACATTATCAGGCAAAAGCTAATCTTTTAACCATCAAAGTCCTGCTGTTCTTACTACCTGGTACATAAAAATTACATTATATTTGTCCTCTCTAACCTTATGTTCATGCTTATCCAAAGTCATCATATAATCATCACAATCTGATATTCCCATAAACATACCCCTTACCTCATATGTTTTATTAGAACCAAACAACTTTTAGCCCTCAATGGTTACATCTCCAATACTTCAGTTACGCTGTTACCTGATTTTCTTTCCATCTAACAAATGCACCCAAGTTAATTCACTTAACCCAATTACACCTAAACCTAGGCTTAAACAAATGTTTTGACAACGACATTATTTTATCTGTTACTGATTGTTGCTGCTACCACAGTCATGACAACGCATAAGATTGACACATACTTGATAGAGGTCGAACGACCGTCTCTAACATGTTTGACTGGAATTCTCAACAGACATGGACCCTCAAGATTCCTCACTGATCTTACCGAATGAGCTGACCGCTGGAACCAAAGATTCCTACCTGGCCATCTATCTCTAATTTTCACAACAGAAGAATCAAACCACATGCATTTAGTTTTTCTCCTCCCTACATTAAATCAAAGACCTCATCCTGTACCTCCATGATGAATCTATATTGTTCTCTACTACTATCTGCTCTCCTATTTTAACCCTATTCGTATTATCATTGACAGCACTCTCCATCCGTAACATAAACCCCGAGTCCTTCTTGCGACCCCCTTTAATTTCAGAAAAGTTGTTGTCGGTGTCATACTCCCTACATTTGCTATTGCCATCGTATCACTAATCCCTTCCAAAGTTACCATTAAAGTAGTTGATGTATTAACCTTAATTATTTCTAGTGGCAAAGTTACCAATATCCTATGTGTATTATTCACTGTTGGAGTGACTACTGTAACATATTCTTCCTGAACTCCTTTGGTGACTGTGGAACTTCAACAGATTTCAAATCTTCCATCATAAGCATCACTTTACGAATTACATAGCCCTTTAACCAATAATTCTTAACCGGAACAAATTTTGCTTGCACTAGATAAGTACACATATATTCTCCCGGACCTTTCTCTGTAACATTACGCAACATAAGTGAACAGTCACTCCTAACCCTCTTCCAAACTATACCTCCTTTGACTAGGTGCAACAGCTTCTACTCCTGGTCCTGATAACAATACTTATTCTCCATAATTATCTCTCCATATGGGAGAGACGTCCCCATCCTAACCCTAATAAGTATTCTTTCCCCTAAAATTGGTACTGGAGCTATTGGTTCCCTTATAATCAAATGCGATATATTTATGGCTTTAATAACTCTTTATCAATGTTGAAAGAGTTAAATTGCTTCTCACTGTTGTTATAATAGACTGAAGTGTTAATGTCCTTAGTTACTTCTAGTTTTCCCCAAAGAAAAGTTGTCTTTGCTTGTACTTCCATCTATCACCACTAGTGTCACTTTTTCCCAACTCTGTCCTTTCTCTAATCCCTGACTTTCAAACTTTTGATTATAACAAATACACCTACAATTACCTTGATCTTCCTACTCTAAAGTGTCATTCACCATTGTTCTCTCTCTTACTACTAACTTTGAAACTTAGCTTACTGTCTTAGAGTTCCTTCAACCTAGTTCTCCTAACTTATTTTAATCTAATCTTTTCCTCCTAACCTTTAAAAACATTTTCCACTGATTTATTCACAAAATCCCTTTACCACCAAATTTTTAGAATATGTGATTGGGAAAGTTCCCACCTGCTTTTGACTTCTTCACACACAGACTTGGCAAACGTCTAAACACCTTTTAGCCTAGCCTGAAATCCCTTGGTGTAAGAATGTAACCCAGATTCTTTAAAATCCTCTACCAGAGTGTACATCCTATTGTACAGTTCAATTTACACAATGCATCTCTTTCCAATAATGCAATAGGTATATGCTCTAATATTAGTATCTTAAGAGTAATTAACTGTTTACTACCTCAAATCCCTATCCTAATTACTTAATTTTACATAGTGAGATGTTTAGCCTCTTTAGGCTGAACACAGATAAGTTTTTACACTATTCACTATCACTTCTAATGGTCGGTTTTACTTCAATTGTTAGCTATTTTCTCTTCTTCTCTAATCGATGCTATCAACTGGCACCCCCCTTCCGGATCTTCTAGGCACTCTAGAATCTTTAGAGTTCACCTGGAGAACAGGTGATCTTGAATTGCCCCTGTATCTTCCTTAAAAATGTTCTCTGTTTTTCCTCCTGACTTGTTGCACTCACAGGTAAAGTACCCAATCTGTCCACAATTATAACAGTCTTCTGAAAGTTGCTGGAAGTGTAGCTGAAATCTTCCTCCTCCTTCTAAGTCTTCTCGTCCTCTTCCTCTCCAATTCTGTGTCTGTCCAGAAACTGGCTGTGGATATGGAACATTTGGTACCCCCCTTGGCTGGTACAATTGCATTTGATATTGTTCAGTTGAAGCTGTAACAGTGATTGTTGATTTGGTTCACTCTGATTCTTCATAACCAAAGCTTCTCTTCTCCACCCGTTGTATGATTGAGTTTTCTGAGAGCTTCTTCGTCCTGTTCTTTCTTCTTCTCCAATTCTTGGGATCCTTTTCTCAGCAGTTTCTCCTCTTCTGTATCTTCAGCTGTGTTACTTCTAAACTATTTGCTTTATCCAGGCATGATAAACGTCGGTCTATATCTCTATTTCTTCTTTGCTAGTCATTGTAGGATAAAATCCTCTTGAACATAAAGCACCTTTAATCTCCAAATTTTCATCGCTTTCTTCATCTTTGCTTTCATCAGAGATCAAATCTCGTGTATCCTTCTTCCTTCAACTTCCATCAGAGATCAAATCTCTAGTATCCTTCTTCTTTCCTCTCTTGCCAACTTCCTTCTGATCACAGAGTCATCTCCACCCATGACCTCTTCATCATCACTCATCTTCATCATCCTCATCTTCTTTAAGTTCCATCCTCCTTAACCTCCCTCTTCTCTTCCAGACATCTCATTTTCTTCCTTCTGGAGTTTTGATTCATCTTCATCGTCGTTTCTGCTTGTCCTCTATCTATTATTCATCTTCATCTCTGATGCAACAATCACCCTGCTGGATGATCACTGAAAGCTGAGGATAAACATCCCTAAGCTCTACTTTTTGCTGAATCCGTATGTGAGAAAGGTGTACTAACTTCTGCCATTAGTTTTTCTAACACTACTTTCTAACACTACTTTAGTTAAAGGATTACTATTTTTTCCCTATATCAATCGGTGTAATCACCTTCATCTAGCCTTGCTGTCCTTTCTCCCCATTGTAACAACCCTTTTATATTCCTTTATCGTGAATTATTTTATTTTAGACTGTATAGCCTATGGCTTCCCCCCTGTAATTATTAATATAAAACTAACAACTCCAAAAAAAAAAATATATATATATATTATTTTTTTTCTCCCAAAAATCAAATCAACTAAAATATGAATCTTAAAAAATTCAATTAAATGTCTTATTCAAAAACCATTTAATTAAAAATTAAAAACCAATTAAAAACTCAATTAAAAATTATGAATAATTTAAAACCAATGTTTTATTCCTATATCACCAATTTATCAATTAGTGTTGGCTATCTTACCACAACCCATCAAATGCAAGTAAATGTAAGCTAGTCAACTTCAAAGCAATCCCCAAAAACAAAGCCTCTAACCCTACCATTACTCCAATTCCCATAACCCCTTGCTCTATCAGCACCTAATTATCTTAAATTTACAGAATAATGTCAGTCCTTGATTCCCAACACAACTCCAATCAAACCCCAGTGATGCACAGAGCCTCCAAAATGCAATTTTTAATGAATCATTTGCCAAGCCTATGTAAAATTGTCATAACATCACATATTTTGTTAGGGATGATTTTGTGAACTAGCCTGATATCTGATCCTCTGCCTGCGTCACACCTTGTCACGTGACGCACGTCAGTCACACGTTAGCCCCTCCTCTCTCCTGTCGTATCGTATTGCTCCTCTCATATGACAGAAAAACAGAGACACAGAAACAGCTTTTAGTAGTTAATGCAATCACTGAGTTATTTCAACCATTCAATATTCGTTCGTTCTACATTCGCTCCAATAATTAACTCAGGAATAATTATTGATCGCTCAAAAACATTTGTATTTAATTTTAATCCGTCATTTAATTCAATTCATTATACTTCGCCAACATATATTTAATTTATAAATTCAATAGGTCACAAAACAAGTTTCATCTTTAACCAACCGCCGATGTAACAACTAGAATACTCGTGTTAAAATTTCTCCTCTGTCTGTCTATTTCTGTCTCCCCCTGCAGCCCACAGATGGGACCTATGACCTTTACCCACCATTTTGTTTTGTAGGCTTAGCACAACCTCATGTCGTAGTTTTAGCCCCGTAAAATCAAGCGCATGCGCACATCCATTCAAAAATACTTTTTCACCCCAAATAAACGGATAACAGTCCAGCTGTACCTCCCGTTTCCCCCTCCTAGTCAAACAACATTTAACAGCGCTCACAAAACATATAACCTGACTCACACACACAGAGACAAGTTTAAGAGACTTTAATCCATCGCAATGGGGTCTCTAAGGATATCCGTTAGCATGTAGCACGCAACACAATTAGCATTAGCATTATCATTAGCAGCTATGTATCATGTAGCCTGACCCATACTCTAGCATTTAGAATTAGCCTTAGCCTTTAGCTAACTGCGGCCTACTACGCAAATCAATATCCTGCATTGTGCCCAAATCATTATCCATCATTATCCATATCTCCGCCTAACTTTATGCTGCCTTGAATGATGAATATCATATCGAGAGGTTATCCCCAACATATCTCCCGTCGGCTATAGAAGGAGTATAACATAAATACAATCGTTCAATTCATGGTTCCCAGAACCAACCTGACCAAGTCTAATACTTCGCCCGGATTTGTAGCCCACTCCTGCGAGTCGCCTTGTTTCAAGGTCTTGAACAGATTCACAATGCCCTAAATATGCATACGTATCCCAGCTTTTATTCACTACCAATCCATTGTTCTAGACTTGCTATTCAAGCAACACATCTCTATAAACAATCCATAAACTCTAACCACTTTTGCGCTGTTTTTAAAATTGTATAATGATTAGCCAGACCCCCCAGTCATCAGCAAAAACGCCACCCGAGGCACTGTCCTAATGGTACATTCCTCCAGTGTACAATCACATAGCATCCAAAACTAACAATCTCCCAAGCTGTGAGGAAAACTCACCCTTTCTGGCACTTCAGACCGAAGTTAGCTTGGTGGCTACGAATGTTCAAAGGAGGATTGCAGACCACTCCTGGCAAGCTCGCCATTTGTCGTATCGAGTGAGTGGTGGCAATTATTGCTGATGAACAAAAGGAGTCTGCTCATACTGAACGTTGATCATAAGGTTTATTCAGACCACAAGCTTCAGCATGAGTGACAGGTGACATGACACCCGGAGAGTGACGCCTCAGAATGGCTGCTCGCTCTGCCCTCTCCTTCGTTTTCCCCCCTATTTATAAACAATGATGCTCCCTCTTCTGGCCAATCACCAGTCTCCCCTGTCTACAACACACTTCCGGTCTGTTGTATGTGGCGTTACACCTAAAACATTCCCTCTTGATACTAACATAAACAACATTCCATTTCTTCATGAAAAACATTTAACACCATCATAATCTTACTACACTACATCTTCAAAATTATTATTCATTTATGTATTTATTTAGTATGTTTTGTTAGTTTAAAACTACTAATATTCTACTTCATACAGCACCAAAACAACATGAAAATTATTTTCCAGAATACTATTCTACAATAATATTAAATGAAAACAGATTGTTTAGCCAAGCCTTTTCAACGTTCACAGTGAATTTTTTCAATCGTCTCACAGCCAAGAGACTATAGGCCATTATTGAACATGCAGCTACTGTAATGAAGCAGGCAATGTATTAGGAGACATCATTTTCAAACATTTTCCAAAATGCAATTAGCGGAAAAACAACATTCTAATAGGCAGCTGATGCCAGCGGTTTCATGTGACAGAGGTGAAAATCTCTGTAAAAAATGCAACAACTATGTTAGAGATGCAACTCTGTTAGAGATGCAACAACTAGGATGGGTTGTTAATATGACTAGACTCTTAGAAAAAAAGTGGCTATCTAGAACCTAAAAGGGTTCTTCGGCTGTCCCTTAACTTTTTGTGTCAACTTTCTTTCGTTGTCCAGACGCCAAAGGCACAATACTACACTCTTAGAAAAAGGGTTCCAAAAGGGTTCTACGGCTGTCCCCATAGGATAACCCTTTTTGGTTCCAGGTAGAACCCTTTTGGGTTCCATGTAGAAACTGTTAAAGAACAAGAGAGAAAAGCTGGTTTTAATGGCATATGAGGAATATTTATAAAATAATTCCCTAAACGTTTCTATGGTCGGATTTTTGCTATAGGCTACTTTGAAGCAAGGTAAGACATGCCTCATAATAGGCTATGAAGTAAAACTCTGTTTTCACACGCGATTGCATGAAGAAATGTTGCACAATGACTGGGATTATAAGAACACATGATTAATGAGCTGTGAGCTCTCGCTTCGCTCAAACTAGGCTCTGTATGCGGTATGCGGTAGCGCGTCATAAATAAGTTACCAAAAGAAATAACCTACTAACAGCCTAATTAGCTTTTATAATGGGGCATATCAGCTATTCATTTTAAAAGATTTGCTAAGGACACCTCGAGAGCGCCCTGCCCCATCTGTGCTGGTACTCGAGCTCCACGTCTGTCCATGGTAATGTAACATGAACATATCTCATATTATTTTTTCCAAACCACATTTTGTACTCTTTTCACTGAAACAGTATCTGGTGCTACTATCACAATTACCCCAAACCTACTAATCATCGAGAGGGGCTCTGTCACCTTAACCTGTGATGCTGCTGGCTTCAACATCACCAGAGAGTGGATGAAGGATGGTCAGCCTCTGTCTTCTGGTGACAATATCATCTTATCTGAGGATAAGAGAGTGCTGTCCATAAAGAAGAGAACAGACAGTGGAGAATACCTGTGTAGAGTCAGCAACCCTGTCAGCTCTGAAAATGCCAATGACACTGTGAATGTAATCTGTAAGCACAGTTGAAGTCGGAAGTTTACATACACTTAGGTTGGAGTCATTAAAACTTGTTTTTCAACCACTCCACACATTTCTTGTTAACAAACTATAGTTTTGGCAAGTCGGTTAGGACATCTACTTTGTGCATCTACTTTGTGCATGACGCAAGTAATTTTTCCAACAATTGTTTACAGAAAGATTATTTCACTTATAATTCACTGTATCACAATTTCCAGTGGGTCAGAAGTTTTCATACACTAAGTTGACTGTGCCTTTAAACAGCTTGGAAAATTCCAGAAAATGATGTCATGGCTTTAGAAGCTTCTGATAGGCTAATTGACATCATTTGAGTCCATTGGAGGAGTACCTGTGGATGTATTTCAAGGCCTACCTTCAAACTCAGTGCCTCTTTGCTTGACATCATGGGAAAATCAAAAGAAATCAGCCAAGACCTCAGAAATGTTATTTTAGTCTGGTTCATCCTTGGGAGCAATTTCCAAACGCCTGAAGGTACCACGTTGATCTGTACAAACAATAGTACACAAGTATAACCACCATGGGACCACACAGCCGTCATACTGCTCAGGAAGGAGACGCGTTCTGTCTCCTAGAGATGAACGTACATTGGTGCGAAAAGTGCAAATCAATCCCAGAACAACAGCAAAGGACCTTGTGAAGATGCTGGAGGAAACAGGTACAAAAGTATCTATATCCACAGTAAAACGAGTCCTATATCGACATAACCTGAAAGGCCGCTCAGCAAGGAAGAAGCCACTGCTCCAAAACCGCCATAAAAAAGCCTACGGTTTGCAACTGCACATGGGGACAAAGATCATACTTTTTGGAGAAATGTCTGCTGGTCTGATGAAACAAAAATAGAACTGTTTGGCCATAATGACCATCGTTATGTTTGGAGGAGAAAGGGGGAAGGCGAAGAACACCATCCCAACAGTGAAGCACAGGGGTGGCAGCATCATGCTGTGGGGTGCTTTGCTGCAGGAGGGACTGGTGCACTTCACAAAATAGATGGCATCATGAGGAAGGAAAATGATGTGGATATATTGAAGAAACATCTTAAGACATCAGTCAGGGAAGTTAAGGCTTGGTCGCAAATGGGTCTTCCAAATGGACAATGAACCCAAGCATACTTCCAAAGTTGTGGCAAAATGGCTTAAGGACAACAAAGTCAAGGTATTGGAGTGGCCATCACAAAGCCCTGACCTCAATCCTATAGAAGATTTGTGGGCAGAACTGAACTGAACTGAACTGGCGCCGGAGAAGATGGCTGCCGTTTTACAGCCCTCTAACCAATTGTACTATTATGTGTGTTTTTCCGCGTTATTTGTAATTTATTTTGTACATAATGTCTCTGCCATCGTCTCTTATAACCAAAAAGAGCTTCTGGATATCAGGACAGCGATTACTCACCTCGTATTGGACGAAGATTTTTTCTTCAACGAGGCGGCCGCGAAGGATATCCTACAGACACCCGTCAAGGCCCAAATCCCCGTCATTTGAGAAAAAATTGGATGACTGTCACGTTCGTTCATAAACGGCAGCGTGATATGCAAACATGTTTATTTAACGAATAAACACAACGACAAAACAATAAACCAACGATACGTGACGTCCTAAGGTACACACAACAAACCTCACACGGAACAAGCTCCCACAACCCACTAGTGCCAAAAGGCTGCATAAGTATGGTCCCCAATCAGAGACAACGAGCGACAGCTGCCTCTGATTGGGAAACACACCGGCCAACATAGATCTAGACCACATAGAAAATACACACCCTGACTCAACAAATAAGAGTCCCCAGAGTCAGGGCGTGACAGTAACCCCCCCCCCCCCCCCCCCCCCCCCCGAAAGGTGCGGACTCCAACCGCACAACATAAACATAACAGGGTAGGGGCCAGGTGGGCATTCCGCCTCGGGGGCGGATCCGGCTCAGGGCGTGACGACCTCTCACTCTTCGCCTCCCTGTTGCGCCCCTGGTCTGGTCTGGACCTCGGCGCGCTACTTCCCCTCTCCTTCCTCCCACGATACGCCAGGCCCTGTCTGGACCCTGGTGTGGGAGACCCCGAACCTGGAGAGGGGCTGACGTCATGGTCTGGACTGGAGCCGCTGACCGGAGCTGGACTGGGCACCGGTGGAGGAGCAGGCACGGGCCGGACCGGACTGGCGACGCGCACCACTGGTTTGGTGCGAGGAGCAGGAACAGGCCGGGCCGGGCTGGCGACGCGCACCACTGGCTTGGTGCGAGGAGCAGGAACAGGCCGGGCCGGGCTGGTAACGCGCACCACTGGCTTGGTGCGAGGAGCAGGAACGGGTCGGGCCGTACTGGGAACACGCACCACTGGCTTAGTGCGGGGAGCAGGAACGGGCCGGACCGGACTGGCGACACGCACCACTTGCTTGGTGCGAGGAGCGAGACTTGGTTCCTTTATTAACCCCCGCTCCTTCTGCTGCCTAACCAGCTCCTCTCGCCGTGCCTCTACACCTTCCTTCTGCTCCCTCTGAACCAATAGCCCCCGTAATCTGGTGGCCTCCTCTCCTAACCAGCAGATCCGCCCTGTCGCGGCCTCCTGCTGCCTCATCGTCCACACCGTGTGCCCCCCAAAAATGTTCTTGGGGTTGCCTCCACCCTGATCGGGGCCTCCATCTTTCTTGCCAGATCCTCTCTCATCTCCTGCCAAGTCCATCCTCTCTGCTCCTCCTCGGCACACTGCTTGGTCCAGGTCTGGTGGGATCTTCTGTCACGTTCAATCATAAACGGGACGGACCAAGGCGCAGCGTGATATGCAAACATGTTTATTTAACGAATAAACACAACAACAAAACAATAAACCAACGATACGTGACGTCCTAAGGTACACACAACAAACCTCACACGGAACAAGATCCCACAACCCACTAGTGCCAAAAGGCTGCCTAAGTATGGTCCCCAATCAGAGACATTGAGTGACAGCTGCCTCTGATTGGGAACCACACTGGCCAACATAGATCTAGACCACATAGAAAATACACACCCTGAGTCCCCAGAGTCAGGGCGTGACAATGACCTAAGATTACGGTTATCCTACCAATGGGACATTAAAAACTGTAATATCTTATGTTTCACCGAGTCGTGGTTGAACGACAACATGGACAACATACAGCTAGCGGGCTATACGCTACATCGGCAGGATAGAACGGCTGACTCCGGTAAGACAAGGGGTGGCGGTCTGTGTATATTTGTAAACAACAGCTGGTGCACAAAATCAAATACTAAGGAAGTCTCGAGGTTTTGCTCGCCTGAGGTAGAGTATCTTATGATAAGCTGTAGACCACACTATTTACCAAGAGAGTTTTCATCTATATTTTTCATAGCTGTCTATTTACCACCGCAAACTAATGCTGGCATTAAGATTGCACTGAATGAGCTCTATAAGGCCATAAGTCAACAGGAAAACGCTCATCCAGAGGCAGCGCTCCTAGTGGCCGGGGACTTTAATGCAGGGTAACTTAAATCCGTTCTACCTAATTTCTACCAGCATGTTAAATGTGCAACCAGAGGAAAAAAAAAATCTAGACCACCTTTACTCCACACACAGAGACGCATACAAAGCTCTCCCTCGCCCTCCATTTGGCAAATCTGACCATAACTCTATCCTCCTGATTCCTACTTATAAGCAAAAACTAAAGCAGGAAGCACCAGTGACTCTGTTAATAAAAAAGTGGTCAGATGACGCAGATGCTAAGCTACAGGACTCTTTTGCTAGCACAGACTGGAACATGTTCCGGGATTCTTCAGATAGCATTGAGGAGTACACCACATCAGTCACTGGCTTCATCAATAAGTGCATTGATGATGTCGTCCCCACAGTGACCGTACGTACATACCCCAACCAGAAGCAATGGATTACAAGAAACATCCGCACTGAGCTAAAGGGTAGAGCTGCCGCTTTCAAGGTGCGGGACTCTAACCCGGATGCTTATAAGAAATCCCGCTATGCCCTCCGACGAACCATCAAACAGGCAAAGAGTCAATACAGGACTAAGATTGAATCGTACTACACCGGCTCTGACGCTCGTCGGATGTGTAAGGGCTTGAAAACTATTACAGACTACAAAGGGAAGCACAGCCGCGAGCTACCCAGTGACACAAGACTTCCAGACGAGCTAAACCACTTCTATGCTCGCTTCGAGGCAAGCAACACTGAAGCATGCATTAAAGCATCAGCTGTTCCGGATGACTATGTGATCACGCTCTCCGTAGCCGATGTGAGTAAGACTTTTAAGCAGGTCAACATTCACAGGACGTGTACTCCGAGCATGTGCTGACCAACTGGCAAGTGTCTTCACTGACATTTTCAACATGTCCCTGACTGAGTCTGTAATACCAACATGTTTCAAGTAGACCACCATAGTCCCCGTGCCCAAGGAAACTAAGATAACCTGCCTAAATGACTACCGACCCGTAGCACTGACGTCTGTAGCCATGAAGTGCTTTGAAAGGCTGGTCATGGCTCACATCAACACCATTATCCCAGAAACCCAAGACCCGCTCCAATTTGCATACCGCCCCAACAGATCCACAGATGATGCAATCTCTATTGCACTCCACACTGCCCTTTCCCACCTGGACAAGAGGAACACCTATGTGAGAATGCTATTAATTGACTACAGCTCAGCATTCAACACCATAGTGCCCTCAAAGCTCATCACTAAGCTAAGGATCCTGAGACTAAACACCTCCCTCTGCAACTGGATCCTGGACTTCCTGACGGGCCGCCCCCAGGTGGTAAGGGTAGGTAACAACACATCTGCCACACTAATCCTCAACACGGTGCCCCTCAGGGGTGCGTGCTCAGTCCCCTTCTGTACTCCCTGTTTACCCATGACTGCATGGCCAGGCACAACTCCAACACCATCATTAAGTTTGCCGACGACACAACAGTGGTAGGCCTGATCACCGA